TACTATCACTTCAACTGCATTCTGCGTCGGCTATCTTCCAGCTGTCTCTGACCGTGGCTGGGTCCCAACTGTCTTCAGCGGCGGCTATCCCAAGACTGTCTCGGCAAATGCATTAACTTGTTATATATCCGCGGCCGCTGCTACACAGTGAACCTTCTGTTGTCTATCTCCGGGGAAGCGCTGCTTCGTTGATTCTGCAATTCCTACGCAACGGCCCACTGTTATTGCGTTACCATGGAAGTATCTACTCCAAACACGTTAGAATATTATTATCTCGGATTTTTCGAATTCTCTAAAAATACCCTATCATTAAAATATTTATAAATATTTAATTTGAATATTCTCTATTATAATCTCTCGCTGACCTATAAAACTTAGGACATTGAAATCAGAGTGTTTGGAGTAGTCTTACAGTGGAACAGGATCTTAAGAAAGAATATGTGTTAACAGAATTCTGATCAGTCAGTTGATGAAAATGCAATGACAATAAATTACATGCATACGTTGTATGACTGAAATGTTGTACTGACGATGTTTTATACAAGGATGCATAATTTGACCATATTATTATAAACTGTTATGCTTCTCTGACTTTTCTGGATACATACAGATATTAAATCGAACTAATATGCCGGTAATTATTATAAGGAATGAGATTTGTGAAAATAAATATTATGTTGCTTTATTAATATTTATTATTTGGACAGTACTTTTATGTAGTAGATGAAATTATTTTTCGCGTAAGAATTTTGTGTCTTTGAATAAAGGGTTCCCATTCATTTGAAATGGGGGAAACTGGTCTTTAACCCTCACTGCAAAGAATTTAGTCCAATTAAAATAATAAGTGACACACTCAGTTAGTCCAAGATACCAGTGGGGCATATAACACCAAACCGACATCCATATAAGCTACACAAATAACACGCAAAAAACTGACGCCACGGAAGGAAGGCAGCGCATGAAAACATAACAAATGTTGTTGTTCTCCAACAAATGTTTTAGTGACGGAATGATGAAAATAGAAAACATCGCAATATTTTAACTGAGAAAATAATTTATGTTAATCTCGTTGAAAATACAGTATAGCAGTTTTGACGTTTGACAGTTGCCTGACGATGGCCGAGTACGACCGAAACTAATAGCTATTTCTGATAGTTAATTGTTAATTTCATATAATGGAGTAATTATAAATAAAGTTGCATTTAAGACAGAAATGAGTATGTATAAACGATATATGTATTAATATAGCAGGATGTGGATACAATATTATAATCCGTACTTTACACGGGGCTCATCAAACTTCGACACTCTTAAGATATGAGTTTGAAACACGAGTTACATATCTCAATGAATTCTACATTATTTTTTTGAAACATATATTTTAAATTATGTTTATTCATCTAAATACGAGGAAATACTTTCTGACTCAACGCTATATGATATAATAGTGTGATTCCCTAAGGAGCAATGCGTCTTCAATGATTAAAATAAATGTGAGCACACACTTCCTCTGTCCCGTTACATATTATGTGTTGTTCTTCCTAGGGCGTGATTCACGCATAAACTCGATCCGAATAAATTCATTCAAGACAGCAACTCAGGAGCAAGATCCATAAATATCGACTGTATATATTCGACGCGTTTCAATTTAGTTCACGACCTCTCTCTATAATTCAACTCCATAATCAACTTCATTTGTCTCATATCTGTGTAGAGCAAGAGACCAAGAGACGCTGACTTACGTAGAGTTGGCTAACCCGAAAACACGTGCAATGTAATCTTGTTTTCATTCTCTTGGTATAGCAAAACCGTTACAGTGTTGTAATGGGCGAGATGATAAATTGCGAAGAAGCTATCTAATTGACAGTCGGGTATGTTCGATAATGTCCTTCTCCTCGCTCGTAAGTTCAACAGGAAACACAAATGACAGTGACATTATGACAAGGTCACACATGGCATCACGTGGCTACGGTACGTGTGCATAAATTCTTAATTATTGTCGCTCGTAGATGTCAAGGCCGTTTCTAAAATGTCAATATCTAGTATTCTTCTGACATACGGGAGCACGCGGTAGCGTAGTTGGTTGAGGCACTATACTACAAGCCGGAAGGTAGCGAATTTGAGTCCGAGGAGGTGGATTTTTTCAGTTGACCTAGTCGTTCCAGCCGCACTATGGCCCTGGTGTCGACTCAGAAATGAGTACCAGGAATCTTCTTGGGTGGTAAAGGGCGGCCGCCTCGTAAGGCTGACATCCTCACCGCCGTCTGTGAGCCGATTGTCTAAAGAAAATGTGGGAGCCTCAGCGTATCACAACACTATTGGCCTTCACGGCCTGTTACAGGAATAGCTTTTAGCTTCTGGCATACAGCTTACCACATATCAGCATCTTCTTGCTATATAGGGGACAAGTTAGTTTTCTGCCAGTGTTTCAGGGCTGTAGATTCACATCAGTTCGCTCTAAGTACAACTATATGCAGGGCAAATATTGTGGCTTATAGACTCGTTGCTAATCGCTGACTCTGTAAACAGCGGCCGTTGCTAGGTGACGCCCACAATATACACCCACGCAAGAATAGAACGATGGGACTGTTCAACCCGTTTATAAGCAACGGCTCGGTAATTACGCTTACAGCAACAGGGGTATTGTTGGAAACGGAGTTTTCTGTTCGGTCCATGCAAAGTGGTTTTAAATAATGATTCAGTTGAGAATCGGTAGTGAGTAGTCCCGTGTGGAGGCGGGGTCGAATACCTGTACCGTGACCCTGCGAGTCGTAGGAGACGACGAAAAGAAGTCTCAGATCTGAGAGAGTAAAATATGGTCGCTAGTCCCACGGGACTATGACCCAAAAATGACTTCGATGACGAGGACCAGCAGCAATTGTAAATGACAGACTCATCCTCTCGTCAGTATTACTAGATCCCCATCAAATATGAGCCGATTTCTAATTATTTAAGGCACATCTTACTCATTAGGGCCATACCCAAAAGAGAGTATGGTTGTGATTTCTTTGTTTAAGAAAACTGCATTATTGTTTTTAATATTCAATCGACAGGGTTGTTAGTGTTTTATGAACTTTCGACTTTCCTGAGAAATCTATGAAATGATTATTCCAATGATATTACTGTTCTTTTAAGAGCTATATCTTCATCGCTTTCCTACTCAATATTTATACCCGTAGTCCACTTCCTACGGACAGAGCCTGTCAGATTTCATGAGACGACACGTTCGACAGTAGTGTCGGAGAAGTAGTCTAAGAAGACTGGCGTATCTTGTCTAACTTCAGCAAAGAATTTGCTCTTAGCTACATACCTCTGTACAGTTTCTGTTAGCTGTATCATGATCTGGGCGCAACACAGATAAATGAATCTGAGATGCAGTTTAAAATTTCCAAGAAAAGATAAATCTGTGTTGATTGCAATATTATTTCATCTCGGCGCGTATCTTGTTAATTGTTTTGAAGGGAATTATGAACCATAGTATGGTATCCATGCACGGCGTGCAAATTTCACACTGTGAAAGTGGAATCTGTCATCACTCAGATGTTTTGACATTGTTGCATGGTTTCTATAGAGTGGAGTGGAGTATGAACCACGCAGCATAGCACGTCACTTAAATGAGACAACACAACAACAGCAATAATCGACATCTTGGTAACAAGAAAGAAGATAAATTCATACTCAAGGAACAGTTAACACAAAGGAATCTACCCAGTAATAGAAGAATCAGACGGAAAGATGCGTGATCTACTACAGCAACAGACACTAAGCTGAATATAGCCTACGACAATTTTAAATTAATTTTAAAAATTAGTAAACTCAATTTTTAATTTTCAACTTTTAGTTTCAGACATATCTTGTATTTAAATCAACATCTAGCTGTTAAAATATAAACGTATATAGAAAGTAGTTATTTTAAGCCTATGTATTTAAATATGAATACATGCTTTACACTTCAATAACGAAAATATGTAAATCACAGCACCCGAGGATGACCCTATAAGGGTCGAAACATGTAGTGGAATATAAGTTAATAAATTATAGTTGCATTGAGGGTGGAATTTATATTATTAGTTATACTCACGCAACAGGATACAAACATTAAAAACAGTATGCCATAACACTTGTGAACATGATGCAGTATGATGTAATAGTCCCAGTTTCGCTGTTTATTTTCTAAAATTGTTTAAGCTGTCCGTGTCATCATCAGGATCGTTAATTAAGCTGTTATCCTATTCTAGACACAAGGATTCAAACTGACCCATTTCTTTTTCAAATAACGCTTAAATATTTACCGTTCGCTGTGTGAAAGTAAGTAAAAAGTAAAGCTTTCCCTGTAACAGACCGTGAAGGCCCCTAGGGTTGTGAGACGTTAAGGGTCCAACATTATCTAGATAATCGGCTCAAAGATGGCGGTAAGGTTGTCAGCCTTACGCGCCGGCCGCGCTTTACTCCCCAGGAAAATTATTTATTTAATTCCTGGTACTCATTTCTGTTAGAGGCTGAGTGAACCCCAGGGCCATGGTGCGGCCGGAAGGATTGGGTCAATTGAAAAAAATCCAATGACCTCATCGGTATTTGAACCCGCGACCTTCCGACTTGTAGCATAGTGCTTCAACCACTACGCTGTGTGTTCGCTGTGTACGTACAAAATACTTTGTAAATTCAATTTTAGGCAGTATTTCAAGATGTTCACTATGTTCCTTCTTATTATTTTTGTTAGTTTGCTGGTATGTGTTATTTCTAGTTCTTCTCAAATATCTTCTTCACCCTTACACTCACTCATTCTCTGTCCTACGACCGCTCTGAGCAGACACCTTCCTGCCTCTTAGTACACGTAGAAGGCCTGTGTTATTTGAACTCCATTATACTTCGCCGTCATACACCCAGTAAAATGTATTTATACATAAACGGTTTGTATATTTCTATATACATTTGTATCTTCAGGTGTGTGTGATCGGAAACTAATTTGTGTATTTCATACTTACAGGTAAGAATGGCTTTCCACTTGTATGTCCCTCTACCATCCAGAGGCGGTAAGTTGTAAGTTGCATATCTGTACCTAAATACATAACAAACAAACAAACAAACTCTGTGGCTTGAGTCCTAAAGCGAACTGTACCGACCGCCGCTTGTCGGCAAAATTAGTGCCAATTTTAGAGGAAAGATGGTGTCGCGGGGTCAGCGCAACGAATCCCCACGGCCCTACCTAAATACATATTTTTAGTAATTATATTTCCGATTTACTTTTAACAAATGTTTGTGCTGTACTGCATTTGTTGTGCTCCTTTTATTCGAATCACTGATATTAAACAAAACGCCCATTCATTTCCCGTATGAGATTGGAAATGGCCCGATTGCCAATGTTTCTTGGCCTCGAAATCAGAAAATAATTTACGTGACAGCTACGCGACGTGTATATGTATGTTCCTCTTCATAGTGAGCACTTTTGGGGTGCTAGAAACTCGTTCCGTAGATCGTTAGGTTGCAACGGGAAATTGTTCATCACGGAGCTATTGAGAAAACGCTTTCCATGCACTTGCAACATCTTTACATAAAAAATAAAAAAAATACCGCACTTTATTTCAAAAGAGAATTTTGTAATCAACTTTAAAACGAAGTATATACTTACAAGTTGTATAATCTATATGTATACTCATTGCAGTACTGATGAGTCGAGGATTCATTCAAGTGTCTCTTATTCCTGCTATCTTCTCTTCATACTCGTAGCTCTCCCCAATTCTGCCATTTTCTTCTATCAATATATAATTAATTAATCACAGAATACCAAGCCTCTGTCACCCGCTTCTAGTTGCCTTTGTTAAAGGATTTCTTGCGTACAGAAAATTGGTGAAGTCCGAGTCTTACTTTGCCCTCGTATTCAGGCTACATGAATATATCAGCAGTCTTGTATTAACAGTCCTGATAAGAATTGTGACACTATATTCGTATATCTTGCAAAGCTGTTGAAGATGAAACATAATGACCTAAATATAAACCCATAAGCACAGGCAATTTGTCGGAAGTTTCCATTTAAAAAAGTAAAGCTATCCCTGTACCAGGCTGTGGAGTCCCATAGGGTTGTGAGACGTTGAGGGTTCCACATTTTCTAGACAATCGGTTCACAGATGGCGGTAAGGTTGTCAGCCTTACGCGCATGCCGTCCTTTACCCCCCAGGAAGATTCGTGGTATTCATTTCTGTTAGAGGTTGAGTCGATCCCAGGGCCATAATGCGACTGGAAGGATCAGGTCGATTGAAAAAATCCACCTCATCGGGACTAGAAGTCGCGTCCTTCCGGCTTGTAGCATAGCGCCTCAACCAACTATTCTACCACGTGCCCGAAGGTTTCCATTTACTTTCCATAAATAATCAGCCACACAGAATGACCGGCCTTAATATTTTGGATAAGAAGGTACGGAAATCTGTATCCTTATTTTTGACAGATTACCGTACCAACATGCTTCAATAATATCAACATTAAATGTAATATAATATATTAGAAAACGCGCAGTTACATATTGTAACATCTCATTTAGGAGAAACCTGATTCGAACCTAGGAGAGCAAAAGAATTAATCGATAGGCGTCGTGGACTATTTTACAGTCAGGAAGAGAATTATTCCATAACAGATACTATAAATTCTGACGTATTCTAATTTTTCCTTTCAAGCAATGTATTCTTTTTTCCAGATACTATATATTTATGTACATGACCTGTCTGTATGTTATTCAGACAGAGTTCTGTCTGTCATAAAATGCACGTCAGAATTCATTATTCTTTCAGCGCAACATCGTAATACCGTTACCTCGTGAGAAGTGAAATATAATATTACAGTTTTTACAAGGAAATGGTTTTTTAAGATAAAGTTTGCTAATGCATATATCATTTGCTCTTTTTTTTTAGAAAGTTTCGAATAAAACCATAAAATATATGACGAAAGTCCATTTTACTTTGTGATAACTGGAAATGTTTCAACACTGAATAATCTCATTTTTCTTTTCGTGCATGCATCATTATGCATAAAAGCAAAGAACTCGTTTCAAGAAATGAGGTACCGACTTTAGCTAGGTTGTTATTCATAGCTATTGTGTTGCTCTTTTTGAAACATTTATAAATTCTAGAATAATTCTATGGCGATAAACAACTGTGACTTTGCTATTTGTATGAAAATCTGTCTTACACATAGTAAATACTCGTGCCTAAAAAGCGGCCTCCGTAGTCTAAAGGTAACGTTCTCACCTCATGACTCATAGTACGCGGGTTCAAATACCCGGCGGAGGTCGTCGAATTTTTAAGGGCGGAAAAATTCAGGGAACAAGTCCACCGGGAGGGACTTTAAGCCGTGTGTCCCGTGTCGTAGCTTTACGGCACGTAAAAGATATCTCCAAAGGAGGTCACTGAGCCAAATTACGGACGTTTCCCGCCCAACAGCAGTGTCTAATACCTCTGGTAGATGGGGGAAGCATTATAGATACTCTCAGCTAGTAGAGCCGGTCTCGCTGGCTGGGCGGGACTGATGGTAAGCACCAGTACCGGTAGGATATAGAGACTGGTAGAAATCGTAGAGGGAAGCACAATGGACCGATACAGCTCTAAGTGCACGGGGAAACCCACCCTCTCCAATAACTTACTAGCTAACTAAATACTCGTGCAATGCAAAAGAAACTCTGAATTCCTAGACTTCAGAAGGTGATATTCTAGCAAATCTACAGACCCACTATAGAAGCATGCGGGTTAATTTGCCTTCTCAATACGTTTAATTCGCTTTATGTTAAAATGGTATCTGTACTAATCCAGTTATCTTATAGTTGCGGAACTCTTAAGAAGTTTTAAAAAGAAATAAAACATTTTGTGAAACGTTGTCAACTTGAGCTAATTTTACTTTTCTTCTTTCTATTCTCTCACACTAGTATTTTTTTTAATTCGTTTAGTGGGGGTGGAGTCCACCTGGGTCCACTCGGCACGGCGGCCACTGATTGGCCTGTTGTACCTGCCCCGGTTGATTATGATGATGGAGAATTTGGTGGAATGAAGACTGGCAGGGGAAACCGAGATACTCAGAGAAAACCCTCCCCAGCTCCACTTTGTCTACCACAAATCCCACTTGACCAGACACGGGATCGAACCCGGACCGCCGCGGTGGGATGCCAGCGACTAACCTCTTGAGCTATGGCGCGACCTTCTCACACCAATAATTGAAACTCGGTGTTATTTTGTGCTTTTTAGTTTGGCGTAGCATCGCTGCCCTGTGAGTCGAGTCCCGAAAATATCTGTTTTCATTCTAAGCATACACAACATTTGACAAATTAATATTTGTGTAATCTGTCGATTGCATGAATTTTTGTTATTTTCTTTTCCATCTCATAGTAATAAGGGTTGGTCTATGGTAGCTATTCTCTTGAAATTTGTTGTGACGGAATATTTTAACATTGCAATTTCGCTTGGAGTAATTTTTATGATAAACTCTTTTTTACGCAGGCATGCTGCAGAACTTTTGACCTAGACAGTTATCATTATCTGACTTCGAAACAGAAGCATGCATTTCTAGTGGCTACTTTCTTGACCTGCAAGGGAAACACTTTGCTACGAGGAAGTTACAAGCCCAGCCCAATGCTATGCTGCAGATGGTCAGGCCAGCCACTGCTGTAGCGGTTAGTGGATTCCGTTTTCCTGTTCTCCCTCAGAAGAAGTTCCACTTCTCTGTTTCTCGTCCCTTTCATGTTCCTTTTCAAACCTGGAGTCTCATTTAGCTCTTTGTGGTAGTAGAGAAACTTCAACAGTAATATAAAGTTAAACTATAAACAGAAATTTTTTAAAACACTTCCCACCAGAATTAATTAGTGCAATGAGAAATTGAACTTCATAGGAACTGGAATAAAATTACTACTACTACTACTACTACTACTACTACCACCACCACCACCACCACCACCATCAGTAGTATTAGTAGTAGCAGCAGCAATAATATAATTCAATAATTCAGTTCTTCAATCCTTTATTATTATTTATGTGCCGAGTCAACAGTCGCAAGGCCAATTACAGACAGAGCACAGGGTAGATACAAGTAATTACATTATGGACAAACACAACATAAAGTCAAAGACAAATTACAAACAAGCACTGGAGGAAAACACAATAATGCAGACAAGTAAACAAACGAACAAACAAACAAACAACAGTAATAATAATAATTTCATTAACATAAATCAATAATGCAGACAAGTAAACAAACAAACAAATGATAATAATAGCAATAATAATAATTTCATTAACATAAATCTAAATGTTATTGAGAACTGAGAAATGAAACGTATAAATATATAATTGAGAAATGAAAAGTATGGATTTTCAGTGAGGATAATAATAATAATTCAGTTTAATTGTTGTTTATTGTACATGTAAATAATAATATAAAAATTATACTATATTTAAAAATATATATACTAAATATACTAAATATCTTGTAACCATGACACTGAGGTCGAGAACAAATCGAGTTTAACCTCCATGTGAGAAAGTTCCATAGGTTAGAGAGATGAATTGTATAAAGCAACAGCGATTTCCGGCAACTTACGTAGATGTCCAATGTGCTGGTGAGAAAATTGTTAAAAGGAAAATTATAGTTTTAGAGATGAGGTTATTTAGACTCTCTGATGTGGTGAGGTTATTAGAAAAAAAAAACAAATGCACAAGATTTATCAGTTATGATTTGAACAAAAATTCTGACGATAAGAACATTGATTGTATGTATTATAAATATTAAGGTAAAACAAAAGATAAAGGTTATCGAAACAATCATAAAACTTTGAAAGCGGAACATATTGAAAGTCATAATCAGTGATCAGAAAACACATCGCTACTTAGCAATGGATATCATGTATTGTTGTCAGGCGCGTCCACACATGCATTGCCCAGCAATGGACGCCGTATTGTTGCGCATTCGTTGCTTGAAACATGTTTACGTATGCGTCTCCTAGAAACAGCCCAAACTGTCACATTCTGCTCTTGTACTTCGTCTCGTCCAGAAAAGCCGA